AAAAAAAAAAAAAAAAAAAAAAGAGAAGTCAAGGAAATGATGCACAGAAAGCACTTTGGCGCAGCCTAGCACAAAGTCCTCCTGTATATTGCTGATATGTTGTTATTATCAGAGGAAGCTGTATATCCTGGGAAGCCAGTGTGGAGGTGGTGGGGAAAGTATTCAAGGCAGGTAGATTTGAATTCAGATTTCACCACTGCCAGTTAATTACTGGGAATGACTTGGAGGCAGCTGTTTCACTTCTCTGAACACCTGCTTCCTCTTCTGTGAAATAGGATAACGGGGTTGCCGTATAGCATAGATGAGAGTGTGTGACTTCATGGCTCCTGGTGCCTCTTCCTTCCCTCTCCTAGGCTTCCCTCACTGTTTACATAGTGCTTCCAAGTCACGAGTCACACCTGCATCAGGTGTAGGATGACTGATCTGTTTCTAGAAAATTGCTAGAGTCTATGAGTAGGCAAGTGCCTTGGCAGGTCGTAATTTATTTAATCACAATTGATTGAAGCTTTGCAAGATCAAGTCGCCCTCTGCACAATCCTGCTTTCCAAACTCAGGGGCACCCTTCGCTTGACTCTTAAATGTTGGGACAGAGGGAAGGAGGGCTTGGCATGTAAAAGCGCCTTCCACTCCAGGCCCTTCCCAACCTGGCAGTGCTTGGTAAACCTTTACCAAGGAAATTATTTTGTCAGGTTAGACTCCCAGCAGTCTTCAAAGGAACCCTCCCTTCCGTAGATGACCCATATTGGAAAACTGAACTTTGCTGCTCTCTGCTGCACGTGTCCTTTACCTCAGGAATAAATACCATTTTTATTTTGCCACCAAAATGTCTTTTATGGAAACTTTTATTGACATCCCTTACCACTGACTCTACAATGGCTAGCCAACTTTTTTTTATTTTTTTAAACCCAAGAACCAAATCACAGGTTTGTATTTACTTCTTTCATTTTAAGTCAGTTGCCACTGTCTACCTATTTTCTTCATTATCTCTTTAGAATTGTAACTAGCTGAGAGTGATGCTGGGGACAGAGCTGAGTCTCTGAGCTCCTTACCTCCTTTGTTGTATGCTACATCCTTTTTTTATATTCACAGGCTTCTGCATTTTAATAAACTGTAGATAATGATACATCCGGTTGCATATTAATTGCTGGAAGTTCAAAATAACACGTAATCACTATGTTTCAAGATTGCAAATGTACAGCACTGAGAGCCAGTGTTCCTTATAAACTTTTGGAAAAATCCATTTGTTACTGGGTATTTTTTAATTCTTGTCATTAAAATGCACTGCAGAATGGAAAATGTCTCAACAAATGAAATCAGTTTTGTGTTCTGCACTCATGCACATGCACATACACCCCTTCCAAAGAATAACATTTTGAAGCTATTCATTTGCTCATTTGGGGTGTGTGGGGGCAACAGAAATGCCAAATGAATCCATTATAGATTACTTACCTCACAGCTTCCTGAACAGCATGCTTTGTATCTTATTTTTCTGCATACCATTGCTCAGTGGGCGGTAAGATGTCAGCTGAAAGCCAAAAGCAGAAAAGCTTAAAATTTTTAAAAATTTATTTCCAGTTTAATCAATCCCATGTGATTGTTTGACTAGTAGCTTTTTCCATTTTGAATAATCAGATTTCAGTGTATTCTGTTCTCGGCTGGGAGCAGAGTGTTCTAAAACACCCCTGTGCTGCATTCCCTGGTTCTAAGTGTGGGCATGTGCTCCTGAGGACACACATGGACCAAACATTTGAAGGGATAATTTGTGCTAGAAGGGACAGCCAGGAGTTACCAGGGAGCACCTCAAATGTATTTTGTGTTTCTCTCTGGAGGTCACATCTCTGCAAGGCCTGTCTGCTCGAAATTGTTGTTCTTGTCAAAAATAGAAACCAACTAGACCTCAAGAGAAGGAGATCCATTTTCTTCTGCAGACCCAGTGCCCTTGGTCAGATGTCCCTGTAGGTTTTACCCAGTAACCAATTGGGATCCCTAGCCTCTGTCTAGTTTTCAGTCAGATGACAGACCTGACTGTCAGCTTTGCTTGTCTGAGATGTGTTCGATCATCCCAGATTCGACTAGAACAGTCTGTCCTTCCTTAGGGACATTGAGATTAAGATCTGTGCATCCTTTTTCATCTCTGTACTTTTATTTCCTTTTCTGAGAAGTTAAGATGATGTTGAGCTTCAAAGAATGACAGATGGATGAGAGAGGGAGGGGACTTCTCTGTAGTTCTGTGTGGTCCTTTCTTGGTAACGGATTTTTTTGTGAATTTTCACCTTGCACATCCGACATGAGTTGAATGCCCAGAGTTTCTCTCATTGCCTAGTCCCAGACAGTACTGGGATCTGGCAAGACTGGAGACTAGCTCTTCTAGCCCATAATTCAGCAGTATCAGAGGCAGTGGGTGGGTGGGAGAATGCAAACCCATCTATAAGGACCCAAGATAAGGACTTGGGTTCTTATCTTGAGATTTTACTGCTTTCCTCTCTTCCAATATAGCCTTGAATCCTGCCAAACCACCCCCGCTTTTGCTCTATCCAGCCAGAGCTTGACTAAACATATGATAAAACCACAGGAAGAAAGGGAAGGCAGGAATGTGGAATCAAAATACATGGTCTCTTAGCAGCCTCAGTGGCTAGAGCAGTTACTGGTATGATTCTGGCAGGTGGCATGGAAATCTAGCTTTGTCCCTGGAAGGATCAAGGCAAAATCCAGTGTTGCAGGGAATAGAAAAGGGCAGGGGTACAGGCTGGCAGACAGACCACACCTCTCCCAGGACGTCAGAAATAAGGGCAATAATCTGTTATTTTGGATTACTGAGGACTTTGTAACGGGTGAGTACCTACCAAGCATATTATACACACAGTCCCATCTGATCCTCCCAACAACTATATGAGGCAGTATAGGAGAGTAATCTTCACTTTTCAGCAGAGGAAACCAAGCTTATAGAGGTTACATTTTGGGCCCAAGGTCACAGGATATTGCACTCTGACCAGACAGGTTGGCTCATATTTTATCCTTAGATCCTTTGCAAAGAATTGATGCATTCTTTGGGCCAGAGTGATACGAACTTTGTCACTTACTGCAGAGGCATTCAGCTTATTCCTAAACTCTGAGAGGGCCCAGAAAATGTCCTTAAAGAAGGAGGAATGGAACTTCCCAGTGGCATCTTTTTCCCTCTTCCCCTCCAACCCCACCCAAGAGGAAGCCAGGGAATCCCTTTTACAGAGATAACCACATGCAGAACATATATTCCACCCAGAGGTTTCCAAGAAGTCAGCAGGAAATGACTGGCTCCAAACGCCAAAGCCACAGAGACCTTCCTCTGGACCCCCTGGCTGTGACCAGGAGACCTTTTCTACCTCTGGGTGCCTTGTTGGCATCATCCAGCCAGGGATGTCCAGCCCCATTTTCCAGACTGGGGGATGGATGTTGCATTGTAGGCACGTTATTTCTGTGGCATTCTTGCCAAAAATGCATAACCTGATGTGAGAAAACATCTCTGGGCCCGTAGCTGGCCTTCCCGTAAGGGCCGCAGAGAAGTGATGCTGCTGGCGAGCCTCCTAATTTTTAAGGAGACTGAACTCTTTAAAGTGCTCCAGCTCTGAGCATCTGGCCCTTTCTGCCTCAGAAGGCAGATGTGGAGCCAGGGACCGCAGAGAGAGCTAAATATTTGGCTTCCTCTTTCTCTGAAGGTCTATAGCATCATGTCTGGGCATGACCGAGATGAGTTTCAGGCAATGGGGGCTGGTGTTTGCTAAAAGGAACTTAACCGGGGTGTGGGTGTGCATTTCTCCCTCTGCCCAAGGTTAAGTAATAGTAACATCCTGTGTAAAGAGAACTTGAATGTGGTTTTCTGCTAAACTTCAGTATTTTGGGGCTATTTATTAGATGTGTTTAATCTTGGGCCAATTTAACCAGTAGCAGACTAATAAAACAACAAATTTGGGCTTGCTGCCAGGACAAATGTTGACTTACCCTTATAATGTTGACTAAAATGAATGACTTTGAAAGTTATTGCAGAGTGAAACCTTAGCCAAAAATACAGTGTCTGAAACAATGGTTTTGTTTTATTTTACTGGCTCGGCTTAGAGCTTATGTTTATAACCTAGGCTGCTGCCTGCTTCACCTCTCAGAGTTCCATATTTTACTGAATTATTTCCCAAGGTTCTTTTTTTCAGCCCATAAACCTTCACTTGGCAGAAATGAATTTCCCCATGTAGGCAAGTAGGACTGGTTACTTTTCTCAATGTGGGGGCAAAAACTCAGTGGTACCAAGAAGAATAAAGGTAATAACTTGCTTGAGTCTTCTCTCAGAAACAAAAAGGTATGCCATGAACACTCACCCTCTCCAAGTCTGTAGTAAAATTAATTGGTACTCCTGGGTATACTGGAAGAAATCCATCTCGCTTGCCCCGTACCCCCACCTTTCCTTCATTTTGCCATTCAGTGTATACAAACATTAGAGAGCTATAGTATTTTGCTAGCATGTGTGTTGGACTTGAAGGAAGCAGGGGAGGCCCGGAGGAAATGAAGCTAGGAGGACCACAGAAATTGTCATAAAGGGTGATTTCTTTCTACTCCTGTTTTTTAAATTTGCATTTTATAGGAAGCTGGTTTGGGCAGGGCCTCTGAGCATGGTTTCAGAGGCTCCTGCCAGTATTGTGTGAGCTCAGCCAACTGCCAGCTGTCCTCCTTATGCCTCTCCCTTATTCAAGGCTCCCCCTGAAGGCAACCATCTCACAGGCAGACTTTGGCCCAGAAGCCATAGATGCTGAATCTGCCTTTGGTACTGACTGGCTCAGGCAGGCAGAGCTTGATATACAGAGAATAAATGTCATCCCTCTAACATTAATATGTTCAGCTTTATGCACCTGAGAGTTGATGGTTTAATTCGTGGGTTTGCCCAGACTCTCCTGTGACTTCGCTCATCATCTGCTCTTTAGCACTTCCATGAGAGGGGGCAGGAGATTGTTGGAGTCTCAATCCAGCAGCCGGAAAGCCTGTCTGCAGCTTGGGTTTGAGGCTGAACTAACTCAGGGTGTTTTGTGGACTTTAGTTATCCAGGCTGTCCCTGTTCCCTCATTAACAAAAACAAAACAACAAGCCAACAAACCTCAGCTTTTTTTTTTTTTTAAGAAGGAAATTGGGATCTTTTCCTCATAGCACCTTACCTTATATGGAGGAAAGATTTAAGCCATTTTATCAAAAAGGAAATCAAATCCCCCTTGGATGCCTAATGTGAGGCAACTGGCAACCAAACTCACAGCTGGAGAAAACAAACAAAAGAATGTGGCTTCCATGTTTGAGATTAGCCAAGATAAAGACAGCAAGGATGCCTCCGGGAACAGTTTCTGGTGGTTTGTCAAAGTCCACAAAGCCTGTAGTCAGTCATTTTGTTGAAATCACTGATAAGCGTACTAGAGGAAAATTATAGTTCTGAGTTTGAAGACCTTTTCTCACCTTGGGGGTTAAAAACCAATCATTCTGAAACACATTTGGCCTAATCAATGAAGCCAGGTTTCCGTTGGGATTTGGGCCTCATTTGTCTTTCATCTTCTGGAAGCAGATGACACCCGGTCAGTTAGCTCTGTACTAGGGAACAAAAGAACAGAAAAAATATTTCAGTGGAAATTTTAGAACTAGGAACAAGTATTTCATTATTATTATCTTTTTCTATTTCCAAAAAATAAGATGACGAGTCACTTGCAGGCTCCAAGGCAGCTCCCCTTCCTGTACCCAGTCTTACTCCTTTGCTCAAGCAGCTCTGTGAAGGCCTCCTCAGTGCTGCATATGTGTCCTGTGTTCTGTATTGTCCACTGCGCCATGCCCTGCCTTCCAGCCACCTCACCTGCTCCTTCCTTGCCAGCTCCACTTGATGCTGATTCTCTTGACTGTTTCTGGATCAACCTTCTGAATCTCCCTATTCAGCTGGGAGACATTCCCTGCAACAGTGACATCTGTATACTTCAATTAAGACCACTTTGCAGATACTGAAATTGGACTAAGAAGGATTCACAAAGTCACAAAGTCCTCCAGAATATGAATTAGTTACAAAGAGAATAATACTAACTTTACAGTGGAGAAATCCGGCAGACACACCTGTATTAATTTCTTATGACTGCTATAACAAAATACCACAAGGTAGGGGGCTTAAAACAACAAAAGTTTATTGTCTTATTCTGGAAGCTAAAAGTCTGAAATGGAAATGTCAGCTGAGGCCAGGCACGGTGGCTCACACCTGTAATTCCAGCACTTTAGGAGGCCGAGGTGGGCAGATCACCTGAGGTCAGGAGTTCAAGACCAGTCTGGCCAACATGGCAAAACCTTGTCTCTACTAAAAATACAAAAAGTAGCCGGGCATGGTGGTGCATGCCTATAGTTCCAGCTACTCAGGAGGCTGAGGCAGGAGAATCTCTTGAACCCAGAGGTGGAGGTAGCAGTGGGCCGAGATCGTGCCACTGCACACCAGCCCGGGCAACAGAACAAGACTCTGTCTAAAAAAAAAAATAAAATAAAATAAAAAAGGAAAAGAAAAAAAGAAAATGTCAGCAGAGCCATCCTCTGAAGCTTGCAGAGGAATCCTTGCTTCTTCCAAGTTCCTGGTTTTTGCTGGCAATCCTTCATGTTCTTTGGCTTGTACATACACCACTCCATTCTCTACCTCTCCTTTGTCACATGGCCATCTTCTCCATGTGTGTCTCTAAATTTCCCTCTTCTTATAAGGACATCAGTGATTAGATTTAGGGCCTACTCTAAACTAGTATGACTCTTCTTAACTTGATTTTATCTACAAAGATCCTATTTTCAAATAACAGGTATCTGGAGTTAGAACTTGCACTTATCTTTCAGTGGGGGCATAATTCAATCCATAAGACCAACTTAACCAGGTAGTCAAAGTTAACATGACCAGTAATAAGACTTAGCAACATGGTATACCACCTATATGATATAACAGGAAGGGCACATCTTTATGTTGTATTCTTGCCAAAAATGTATAACCTGAACCTAATCATGAGTGAATATAAGATTAAAGTGGGAGGCACTCTATAAAATAACCGACCAGTACTCTTAACAGGTGTCAATTAGAGAGCTCTAGTATTTTGCTATAAGATCATGAAAGACAACAAGATAGAGGAACTGTATCACAGATGGGACAGAAATATAACTTTGGATTCTAGATTAGATCCTGGAACAGAAAAAGGACACTAGTGGAAAAACAGAAACTGGTGGAATCCCAATAACTCTGTTAATAGTATAGTTAATAGTATTGCCCCAGTGTTAATTTCTTAGTTTTGATAAACGTACTGTGGTTATACAAAATGTTAACATTAGAGGAAATGGAGTAAATGATGTATGGGAACACTACAAATTTTGCAACTCTTCTGTAAATCGAACATTATTTCAAAATCAATTCTTTGAAAAATAGTATGCATATATTAAGTGAATAGATAAGCTCACCTGTTCTTAGAGGCAAAGGTGGCAGGGGGCATAATCTTTAGCAAAAGCATAACAATTTGTGAGCCCTATTCTAGGCTCTGATAATTATCTTGCTGTTCACAAATTACTGTGCTCTGTACTCATTGTCATTATCTGTCTGTTGCTGGGCAGAATAATGAAGCAGAGGGGTATAGTCCAGTACATGGTCCACATTTTGCCACTACCCGAGATACATGATCTTGTGTATTTGTGCTCCTTTAAGCTTGGCTTGCTCACCTATAAAGTGGGGATAATGATATTAGCTTTCTCATAAGATGTTCTGAAGATGCCAAGAGCAAATTCATATAAAACTCTTCACCCAGCACCTACACAGATTGTAAATTCCCCATAAAGCGTAGCTCCTCCCCATAGAACTCTCACTGCTTGCTGTATTAAGAGGTTATTTCCCCATTTTTCAGCTGAAGAAACTGAGTAACTTGCTTAAGACCACAAGATTAGCGAATATGAGAGCCAGACTAAAATAGATCTATAAAAATAATATGGCTCATTCTCAACTGTTTTGTTAGAAAAACATTAACACAAGAGGGAAAATCTGTAGGAATTCATTGAAAGAAATGGTACAAAGCAAGCTATCAGGTGCCCCTATGATGGGTGGAGTGGGGCCGTTTGAAGTAAAGCTTATAGTTGGGAAGAGGAAGAAGCAAGAGTTAAAGAATCGTCCAGTAGGCAAACAAACAGAAAGCTTGAAAGGGTGGGAAAGGCCTTGGCAATAGGAGGTATCAGAGGAAATTAGAACACAAGAATATTTGTAGTAGCCTAGAAGTCTTGCAGGGTGAGAATCTGGGACACAAACTGTAAAATGATGTGAACCACCCTTTGGCCCTGAGAAGAGGGGTGGTAAAGTCAAGGCAATTGTGGAGTAATGAGCTTTACATTTGTTTGATCGGTAAGAGGCAGAAGGGGAGTGAGGATGTAGCAAAGATAGGAGGTCTTAGCCTTGTGAGTAGATAATGTTCTTGTAGCAATTAAGAGAAAAATACGAATTTGAAAGGCATTCACAGGAAAACAAAACATGCTCACAAGTTAAAATATATACAACAGGAACACAGGACTCCTGTCCATGGACAGGCTGATCTTGAAGGACCCCTATTTTTCTGTGTGTTTCTAAAATAAATTAGAATTGACCCCCACCCCATGGTTTTATGTCATGGAGTTCAGTGACTGGGAACTCGTTAATGGGTTTCTTAATGAGAGTGAATTAAGCCAGTCAGTAGACTAAAAGGCTTCAGGGGTTGTGGCTACCCGGCCCTTGGCTCTCCATGGGGTTGCTGTCTTTAAATGCTGTGAAGTAGTTTTCCCAGAGCTCTCTTTCCCAACACATGGAGCTTTCCCTATTCTGGTGTGTGTTATTTGGAAGTTATTAAAATTCAGTAGTGGGAACTTTAAAAAAAAAAAAAAAAAAAAAAAGCCGGGTGCGGTGGCTCATGCCTGTAATCCCAGCACTTTGGGAGGCTGAGGCGGGCAGATCACAAGGTCAGGAGTTCAAGACCAGCCTGGCCAACATGGTGAAACTTCGTCTCTACTAAAAATCCAAAATTAGCTGGGCATGGTGGTACATGCCTGTAATCCCAGCTACTTGGGAGGCTGAGGCAGAAGAATTGCTTGAACCAGGACTGGGAGGCGGAGGTTGTAGTGAGCCGAGATCACGCCACTTGCACTCTTGCCTGGGCTACAGAGGGAGGCTCCATCTTCAAAAAAAAAAAAAAAAAAAACAGGTTTCTTCTATTCTGGTTGATGTTTGTCTCTTTAGTATCCTCTCTAACTAGGCCTTCCCTCACAACTGAGGAAAAAAATCACAGATGGCTGCATAATATTCCATGGTGTATATGTGCCACATTTTCCCTGTCGAGTCTGTCATTGATGGGCATTTGGGTTGGTTCCAGGTCTTTGCTATTGTAAACTGTGCTGCAGTGAACATTCATGTGCATGTGTCCTTATAGTAGAACGATTTATAATCCTTTGGATATATACCTAGTAATGGGATTGCTGGGTCAAATGGAATTTCTATTTCTAGGTCCTTGAGGAATCGTCACACTGTCTTCCATAATGGTTGAACTAATTTACACTCCCACCAACAGTGTAAAAGTGTTCCTATTTCTCCATATCCTCTCCAGCATCTGTTGTCTCCAGATTTTTTAATGATCACCATTCTAACTGGCGTGAGATGGTATCTCAGTGTAGTTTTGATTTGCATTTCTCTAATGACCAGTGATGATGAGCATTTTTTCATATGTTTGTTGGCCTCACGTATGTCTTGTTTTGTAAAGTGTCTGTTCATATCCTTCGTCCACTTTTGAATGGGCTTGTTTTTTTCTTGTAAATCTATTTTAGTTCTTTGTAGATTCTGGATATCAGCCCTTTGTCAGATGGGTAGACTGCAAAAATTTTTTTCCCATTCTGTTGGTTGCCGATTCACCGTAATGACTGTTTCTTTTGCCGTGCAGAAGCTGTGGAGTTTGATTAGGTCCTATTTGTCTATTTTGGCTTTTGTTGCCACTGCTTTTGGTGTTTTGGTCATGAAGTCTTTGCCTACGCCTGTGTCCTGAATGGTTTTGCCTAGATTTTCTTCTAGGGTTTTTATGGTGTTAGGTCTTATGTTTAAGTCTTTAATCCATCTGGAATTAATTTTAGTGTAAAGTGTCAGGAAGGGGTCCAGTTTCTGCTTTCTGCACATGGCTAGCCAGCTTTCCCAACACCATTTATTAAACAGGGAATCCTTTCCCCATTGCTTATTTTTGCCAGGTTTCGTTTCCTTTATAGGGACATGGATGAACCTGGAAACCATCATTCTCAGCAAACTGACAGAAGAACAGAAAATCAAACACCGCATGTTCTCGCTCATAGGCGGGTGTTGAACAAAGAGAACACATGGACACAGGGAGGGGAGCATCACACACTGGGGTCTGTCGGGGGGAAATAGGGGAGGGACAGCAGGGGATGGGGAGTTCCGGAGAGAGCATGGGGAGAAATGCCAGATATAGGTGATGGGGAGGAAGGCAGCAAATCACACTGCCATGTGTGTACCTATGCAACAATCTTGCATGTTCTTCACGTATATCCCAAAATCTAAAATGCAATAAAAAAATAAAATTAGGCCGGGCGCGGTGGCTCAAGCCTGTAATCCCAGCACTTTGGGAGGCCGAGGCGGGTGGATCACGAGGTCAAGAGATCGAGACCATCCTGGTCAACACGGTGAAACCCCGTCTCTACTAAAACTACAAAAAATTAGCTGGGCATGGTGGCTCATGCCTGTAATCGCAGCTACTCAGGAGGCTGAGGCAGGAGAATTGCCTGACCCCAGGAGGCGGAGGTTGCGGTGAGCCAATATCGCGCCATTGCACTCCA